GTTTAATGCCATTTTGTAACAAAGTATAAAAGTTTTGAACAAAGTTTTGAACAATTGTACTAAATCAACATGTACAGTTGTCTTTATTGTCTTTTAGTTTCTTATTTTGATATGTTCATTATACTTTTACTCAGTAAGAGAACATAAAACATCAGACTTTAGAATTACATGTTCATCTTTTTGTTACATGACAATAAATATTGAAAAAGTATTTAAATTAGACTGAATTAATTAAATTTTACATGCAAATCAATTTGTGCGGATGTTGATACAACTACAAAGCTACTTAAATATACAGTGTATAACTCTAAACAGTAGGAAATTATAATCTTATGGACCTTGGTCTTAAGAAATTTTCTCTGATTGGACCCATTTAAATTTCAATTGAATACCCCTGCCATAAACTCTTGTGATGGAGGTGGCTGCTGTGAATCAAACAGCAGTTAAACAGAGGCTGCAATGATCGGTCTGAATTTGCCATTTGACTGAACATCTAACTGCACTGCTACAGCGTCCCCTGTTGTTAGGTGGGGCAGTGCAGTCTCACGCCTCTTATCAGGGCTACTGCTGCTCTGGGTCTGTGGACTTCATATAGACGTGTGCCCCCAGATTATTTTTTGTAAGCCAGATATAAGGACAGTAAAAGTAAAATTAGCCAAAAAAATATCTCTTGAAAAAGGCAGTTTGAATAAAGAGCTAGTTTGGGGAAGTCTTTGGGAAAAACTGGCCAAATTTGTGAGTTTTTTTTTCTTTAAATAATGGTGCTTTAGTTAGAACATCTTTTAGTAAACAAAAATAAAATAATAGTTCATGTTTTTTTCTGTTAAACAATAGTTTATACTTCCTGAAATCATTCTCAGTGTCCACATCAAGCAGATAACTAAAGGAACAGCCCACCTCCTTACTGAGATCTGTGTAATCAGAGCACAGTTCAGTTACTAATATTACTTCAGCGGGCTCTTACTGTGTGCACAATGATGAACTTCAGCTGCATACTGTCTTTACTCTGCAGCTTAAGTAAGTACACCTACAAATATTTTCAAATACATTTTTCTGTTTTCTGTCTGTATAGCAAGCCATCATTGTTCAGTTCTTTGTGKATGCTCTATGTTTTCAGGTTGGATCTGTATGTCAGTTTGTGAGTTTCACACGGTGATGGTTGAGCCTGGTGAAGAAGTCACACTGCAGTGCTCCAATCGTAGCAGCTTTCCTTCTCACTTGTTTTGGTTTAAACTAACCAGTGAACCCAACACCAGCTGCATCTCATCTATGTTAACTTCTGAGTCTAATTTTATCTTATATGAAGGATTTCAACATGACAAATTYAATATGACTTCCAACACCACAAATGTTTTTCTGCACATCAAACAAGTGCATTCATCTGATTGTGGACTGTATTTCTGTAGTGTTAAAGTTGAGGTAACCCCCRGAGTCTACACAGCAACATATTTACAGGTTAAAGGTAAAACTGCTGTCTTTGCAGTATTGTAACTGTCAGAATAAATATTAATGCTGCTGCAGGTAAATATAATCGTGTCTCTTGTGCAGATATGAATGCTGAATCAACAAATGTGCTGAATGTGATCCTGGGTGGTGCCGTTTTATTTCTTGTAATTATCATCATCAGTTTGGTCATCAGAATCAGGAGCTTTCACACAAGTACTTTACATTTTTTAATTCACTTKTAAATACAGACAGTTATCAATCTAAGCTAACAATCTATACCAACCAAATTATCTTTTTTTCTGTTGTTCAGCTCAAACTGATACACAAAGTGTACAGAACAATGAGGTAATTATTTTAATTATATGTATTTTTATTGGAATTCACCTATCAAACTGCTGTGTTAGTGATTGTATATTTATATTTTTTATTTCTAGAMTGACTCCCTGAACTATGCAGCTCTGAGTTTCCGTCCAAAAGCAAAGAGCAGCAGAAGACATGTGGAAGAGGGAGAGCTTCAGACATGTTGTACACCGCTACAAGATAAACTCMCAAACTGATGAAATCAGCAGATCAAAGAACACTTAATGCTTAATGGTCTCATTGTTGTTTTTTCCTTGATAATTACAGTAAATGGAAAAGAGATTTTACTGGATAAGTTTGTGTTTAAGAAAATAAAGTGTCTGTCAATCTGATGATGATGATCTACTGCACTTTATACTGTAAGTAAACAGGTTTTCATAGGTGCATAAATGTTTATATAGTTTATATAACCTTAACCCCTAATCCTAGCTGTATTATTTCTAAACTTGACCAACCTATCATTAGGACCAAATTAACCATCATCATCTGAATTTCTCCAAATATTAAAACCAAAACTAGTTTTCTAAACCAGTCCTAAAAATATTTTTAATAGGATGGCTCTTCTTAGATGAGGGTATCGAGTGAAAATGGCTGAAATACCCACTGAGCCTAAAGTTTACTAATGATGAAGTGTTCCAAAGCTCTAATAACAAATTAAAAMTGTACTTTCACTCATGGAATAAAATAATCTTACAAAAACAACCTGAAGGAAATTTTGTGTTTAATTAATTGAATTTTAGATACAGTCTTGTATTTTTACATGTATCGGTGCTGACATGAAAATGTACTGTCCTCAGGGTATAACCAAGGTGTACGCACGACTTTGGAAGACAGTTTTAGTGCAAGCAGATGCAAGGCTGCTGAGAGGGACTTGGTTTTGTTTGCTGATAACGTTCAGGGCCAAACAGACAGGCACTGGGAGACAGAGGCTCTGAACAATTAAATGGAGTTACAGATCTGAGGAATAAAACTATTTAAAGAGAATCAACTTGGTTTTCTGCAAACGTATTCTGGTAACCAATTTTGATCACATATATTTTACAAACCAATGCACATTTTTTGAGTTTTTTGGTAAACAAAGAGGTGGAAACTTGACTRACGTGTTGACTGGTGTCTTACTTTAGACTCACTTTCCAAACTGTTCTGACGGATTCATGTGGAGCTATTGTTATACAAAAATTCTCCTAAATTTAAGGGGAAAAAAGGAAAAAAGCTTTTGAATGACTTGACAAGGCGAACAGTGAGCAGACTAGTGAGTTGATCTGTTAACTTGATGTGCAGTGGGTTTGTGTGCACTGTTACAGTAAGTTGACCCACTCCCCACTTTACCAACTTTGTTCATTTTCTCTGTGGTAAATGAACAAACAGCAAATGCAACAACTCTGCCACAAAAACCACTGTTTTGCTCTGTAGCAAAAATTATCAACAAGGCCTTTAAACTTCCCAACAACAAAAGCCAGAAATTGTTTTGTTGTTTATGTTAAAGTAATTAAGACTGAATTAATCCATCCCTTTTTTCAATCCTAATATCCAACATTGAGTTCTAGACATGAAGCAATGTTTTAAACCTGAAACTTGGGACTGTATTGTTTGTTTTTGTTGTTTTGTTTTTATGGTGTACTAAGGGATCTTTTTGACAGCATTTTTTTCTGATAATTTTCTAGACCAGGGCTATTCTACCCCTATTCTACTGGCGGCGGTGACTTCCAGCCAGCCAATGAGCCTCCTGGAAAAAAGAATATATATATAT